CCCCAAAACCCCAAAACCCCAAAACCCCAAAACCCCACTTGGTGAATGGTGGATTGAATTGAAATGAATTAAATTTAATGAATTATTAAATCTGCCCAATCGAAGGCTTTTATAGCTTGCTAGTACTACAATTCACCCTCGATTCTTAGGTCTTTCAGTCTCTGTGTACTCTTAGAATTCTGGGAAGAATCTATTTTGCAATTTTACTGGAATTAGCTCTACCCCTAGGATTTTTCTTCAGAAGAGTCTCTTCGAGTCTGACGCTGGCTTCCGGGATGATCTCCAACTTGGCGATAACCTTCTTGGTGCTCTTAAGTATAATCCTTCTCTGGTTCTCTTCGAGCCTTGAAGTGGTGATGTCTTCAGATTCTTTGTCTTCTATATGTTGAATTAATATTTCTATGTTTGAACGAAAGAGAAGTAGAGGAAATATTTTAGCCGCATGGAGAACAAATATGTAGGAATTTTATAGAAATTTCTGAACCAGCCACTATCCTGCTAGCCTATATCTAACTTGGTCCGAATTACATCCTAGCATTATAGATGGACCAGAGTCGAAGTTTTCAACTAAATTCAGATTGACGGATAAGAAGCTTTGGTGGAGGATTTTAGTTGCTAAGCTAACCTGGTGGCTTAATGGATGATAATTCCAACACAATAATTTCGGAAGTTAATATTGATAATATAAAATTTGTCGCCTTTATCTACACACTAGTGTAAAGTCAGGGTATTAGAAGCGTGTTTGAGAAAGAACGATTTAAGAATCAGAAGTAAATTCGAAAGATATTAATCATCCTGTTTTATTTGGTACCGAAAATATTGCAGATATGACCAAACTGGTGGAGCCTACAAACTCTAAGACACCATAGAAGAACAATTTGGTGGAAATGAATCCACTTGCTTACCTTCATTGTCAGATTCACCTCTGCTAAGATCACAGCTTAGGTCAGAACTGCTTTCACTGAAAGTTTCGAGACCAGATTGGATTTCATTCGATTTAGTCCGATTAGAAATAATATTCTTTGTATTTAACTGCTTTTGCCTCTGTTTCTCTTTATAGTTCAGAAAAAGTTTGCTAATCTTCTCGACCAATCTCATGATCATCATCTTAGTCCTTCTGAATTGGAACAGAGCAAGCTCTGCCTTCGATGGACCTGAAAAATTCTGAGTTGCTTTGCCTACCAGAATTGTCCAATTTTTAATTGGATTATTCTGAAATTTCGTCTGACCTTCACTGTCGGATAGCACATTCGGTTCATTAACGAAGGTCTTTTGGAGCTTTCCACAGCAACTCTTGGAGGACAGGTCGATACTCATAGGGTCTATCTCAAATTTACCAGGAGAACCAGTCACCTTAGAGCTCTTTGGGTTCTGACTGAAAATTATCCTATAAGAAGTTAAGCCAAAAGTTCTGATTGATGAAAGTCAGGATCGATGATTATTAGTGAATTTACCTCTTAACCTTATTCGTGCTCATTGGCCTAGCTCTTTTCTTTACCTCTGACGTGTTGGAAAGTGGTATAAGGGCACCTTTGATGGCTTTCCTACGGCCACCATCCTCTTGAGGAATCTCTTTAGAACTGAAATGTATAACTGTTGGCTTATATTTAGGCTTCTTCTTGCCAACTCGATGTCTTCGGATGTTCTTGTTCGCACTAGAGAGTTTAGACGAAGGCTTACAGATCAGCAAGGGAGTTTGCCCCCTTTCTAGTCATTTTTGCCTTAAGAACTTTGTTCTTGTTCTGATGCATCAATTTTCAGAGTGTTTCTTTGATTAAAGCTTTAGTTTTCGAATTTGCTACTGATGCTGTTGATTGAGCATTTGGAGGTAAAGCATCAATTAAAGAAAAGATGCTAACTTCTTCCGTTCTCAAGTTGCTGCCCTTAGAACGCTCCCTACAATCATTCTTTCGCCTCGGCTTATAATTCCTTGGAGGATTTCTAGCTAGCTCCGCTTGGTAATGCTTCATGGGCGCTTTCCAGCCACACGCTGAGTTATTCATGCTGGGTGCTATTTTAATAAATTAAATATATACAACAGCGGCTGAATTTAGTGGGGTTTTGGGGTTTTGGGGTTTTGGGGTTTTGGGG